AAATAGCTTAGTTTAAAGCATTGGCAGTCATAAAAGATTTATGATTTATAAATCATAACAAAAAATAGCAATAAAGATATGATATATAAAAGGCATACCTTTGAGGACATCATCGATATTCTCCTTATACTCCATAAACAGCGATATCTTCCAACTGGTGTTACAGTTGACGGCATTTACTTCTTTACAGCCGGCGTTGTCCGGCAGATCGTAACTACTGGCGTGTAGGGGTTGGCCCGCATTCACCGGTGTTAACACCACTTTGTCTCCCACCACCACATTATCACCCTATTTGGTCACAAACATCATTAATACTTGCAAGCTAAATGATCAAGTGATCAAGGTGGTCTCACCGTAGACCTGAGCTTATAGAATGGCACGATATAGAACCAAGATCCTTCGTTGCCATTCGAGTCCAGATAGACTCGCATCGAGTTCTTCTCCAAGAGCGCCGGTAGTCTCTTATTGACCGTCAAATACTTATTGCTCTTCAGATGCAACAGTTGTATAACACCTCCGTATTGGATGACACTTCCGATCATTTTCTTGTATTCGGTCTCATTTTGTTTCTTTTCCAGTTCTGCCGCGTGCTATACATCACATCCAATAGATCCACAACAAGTTTAGACAATATATTCAGTGGACATTCAAATGAGTATTAAATTACATGTAATTTCTTGAGCAAAAGGGCATCACTTCGATTGGTCTGACTATTGGACTGTTTGGCCGCTTTCCAGAACTGCTTTTGAGCCGAATATCGATTCATTGGACATATCTTGAAGAGACAATCTACGGCCAGACATTCATACAATTAATGGTCATATTATGACAATTGGTGGACTCATGAGATGAATACCTCTGAACTTCTTGGGCGGGTTCGTGGGGTCGCCGGCATTGGGCTGAACCACACACCTGTCGTCCACCAAACTGTGGTCATAAACGGCGTGATAATCAATAGTGGATATAATGGACAGACATGCTCGACATACCCCAAAGTGGACAGAAAGCCAGAGACTGATCCCTCGGCGAAGAGAGAGACCATATCCGCGTTGTGCAGAAACGACGCGCTATTCTCACACATTGTGGCCGCGGATCAGCTACTCGTCGGACGATCACTACCACAATGATTATCACTAATTATATGAACATCTCATGGATAGGCACTACTCCAAGACACCACGAATTGACTCTCGTATTAAAAATTACTTTAAAAAATAATTTGTTTTATAAAATGTATAAAAATTTGCATAAAATATAATACAATAATTAAAAACTTAATGAATTATATGACAAAACATTTGCTGTTGTCTTGCCGTATAGTATAGTACAGGCATTTGAATCACTATATTGTCGTATATTTATGTATGAATTAACAAAACAAATCAATTTAAATGACAAACAAATGATTGTGTGATTGTAATGACAAACACAGGCGACTAATACTACACTTGAAAACAACAGTTTCACTGCTATTTCATTATCGCCTTAACTATTAGTTACATTTGGTTTTTAACATCAGTTTTATTATTATTAAATCCAAATTACTTTACGTGTTATCGTAGACTTTCATTATAACAGACAACAGCACTAAA